CGATCTCACCCACAGGAAGCTGCGACCGTGTGGCAGCAGGGCAAATGGCCACAGATCCGGTTCGTATCTCGAGGCAGAGTTCGCACGTTGAGGTAAATTTTGGGGGCTGGAGCTGGTCGTATCTCAAAAAATTCGTAAGGAGGGGCGTTCGTAACTAGAGGTACCACTGTAATTTTCCCTTTTCAACAGACAAACAAACTACTGCCTGATTTTGTAGCCAAGCCATGATATGTATCCAGGAGGTACATCCCCTATTCTTCCCATGTTTGCACAGACATAAAGAAAAATTCAGCTGTATTGTATAGCTACTTTTTCTTTGAGCAACAGATTGTCATTTCCAGCTGATGACACAACAATAGCTACTAGATTAAATGGAGCTTTCATGCACAGAGGCTGTACTTCTAAAACTCATGTTTAAGTGACAAATGAGGAAGGCCAAGCCTTGATGTCCTGCTTCAGAGCTTCTCCAGGCATATAGCTGGCCTCTTCTCTCCAATTCATTTCTGCCCCTCCAATTCATTTATTCCATATAATTAATTGCCTCCTCTATTTTCCATCCCCCATAATTGTGAGCAGACAATTTCAAGTTTCCCACCAGCAGCTCTACTTCCCTATCTCCCTCAGTCATCTTTTTCAGATTTTTCTCACTTAGTGCAGAGTCAGTTCCTTGGTAGGAAAAAAAAGATTTACACAACTTTAAATTGGCAACTAACCCAGCCATGCCCTTGCATGCCAGTCCCAAGCCTGAGGAAAGTTGAGGAAAGACCTGGCGACCTGCCTTGTAAAAACCTTGCCAATAAAATTTTATGGAAAGGCTTTCAAATGATTCAGATATGGTGCCCAATGGTAGGACCCCCAGGCCAGAAGGTACCCAAGAAGCTACTGGGAAAGACCAAGGACCTGCAGTGAGTAGTCAAGGCATTAATGATGCCAGCAAATCCAGCAGGCATCCCAGCTGCTGCTGCAGCCATCAGTGAAAGCAAGGGTCTGCACTGCATGAAGACACATCAGACAGCGATGTGGAATGTCCAAGGAATGAGCCAGAGTAAATTAGATATAACCAAAGGCGAGATGGCCAGGTTGAAAATTGGCCTCCTTGGTGTCAGTGAGCTACACTGGGTAGACAACAGCTATTTCCGGTCTGAGGAATTCGCTATCTATTACTCAGGATGATGGTGGCAACTGCTGATTGATTAGTAGCACCTTTTTCCTGCCCTGCTTGGTCTTGTAGTCCTTCTAGCCGTCCTGTCTCCAGTTCTTCTATCATGGTATATCAGAGGCCCTACACCAGTGTTGTCCAAACTTGGCCACTTTAAGATGAGTGGACTTCAACTCCCAGAATTCCCCAGCCAGCCATGGGGAACACTGCCCTACACAATGTTCAGTGCTAATCAATAGAAGAAATAGGATCTGAACTCTGTAATTTGAATGGGGGAATTTGTCTCACCAATTCCCCCTATTCTGCTCTCAAGCCCACTATCCAGGTGTGTGTCAAGGTTGATTCGCACACACAAGGAGCACATATTTTTTGTTTCACAAGATGTGTGTTCCAAAATTCTTTATTGTAACTGCCTTTTACTACTGGTTCTGGTATGGAATTTTAAATTTTAAAATTGGGCTTGTTCTGTATTTTATTGTGATGGAATGGAATTATGAAGGCCAAGCTCAGGGAGATAAACATTTTCTTAGC